AGTTAATGTAGTTAATTAATAATAATAAATGAATAATTTTGTTTGTCGGTTTTTTTTTTTTTTTTTTTTTTTTTTTTCTCTTTTTTTTTCTTTTCTTCTTTTTGATTTCTTGAATAATAATAATAAAAATACTGCATCGTTTTATAAACTACCCTAAATAAATCTGTTAATATCTATATACATATGATGATGAAAAAAAAAAAAAATAATATTTCAAAAAAAAAAATTTTTTTTTTTTTAATATTATCCTACGTTATACTTAATGAATAAGTAAATAAAATATATCACATTTTAGCTAACTAAAATAAAGATCGCAAAAGAATGTTTGTAAATAAGAAAAACCAAAGATTAGTAACTATATAAACAAATATATACCACCGAGAAAATAGTAATCATCATATTCAAAATTTTCAAGTTTGTTGAAGTTAATGTAACATTCATGACTATCATATTCTCGAAAAGGATAATAAAAAGAGAGAAAATATAACCAAGTAATAAAATAAGCCAAGGCAATTTAGGGACTGACAGCTTCTTGTTTTATTTGATGTTCAAAATGAGCATGACCATTCGTCATTGCCGACCTGCTGTCTTCTTCTTCATCCTCTTCCATAGGCTCATGCTTAATAGTTGGCTGAATTTGCATAGGTTGATCGTCATCTATCCAACGCTGCATAACATATTTTGTACATTTTTCCGCACCAGGTAATTCCTGTAAAAAAAAAAAAAAAGCAACGGTCATAAGAATGCAATATATATATAATTCTTGAAAATATTTGTATTATTCGTAAATTTACCTGAATGTATTTCGTAATACCTAAATGACTTAACCCCAACATTTCGGGACCACTAGCATGCGTTTTTGATGGAACTCCTTGCACATTGATCTCATCAAGAATCTTTTTCCATACACCACTCGATGAACTCGCAACAAACTTCCGGCCAGGTTGATCTTCAGCAGTAACTTGAAACTGAAAATAAGATGTTAATATCGGGTGATACGTTACATGGTTAAATCATATAAATTAATTTCCTTACGATTGGAGTGTCACCACCATCCAAGATTTCACTAGTATAAGTAGTTCTTCTTGTGACATCAACGGCACTCAAGTATTGTTTTTTGCTCATAAACCCAACAGGAAATATATAACGATTAGTATGATATGCTTCCCTATCCCAAACGATATCACCTTTAAATTAAGACGTAAACGTTAATAATTAAACATATTAGTTAACAAATAAAGTCAATATATACTTATGTACCTACCTATCCTGTAAATTGTCACTTCATTAGTTCCTTTTCCAATAGTAACTGGCAATTTCAATGTGCTATCAGAATTCATCGGTAAAGGCTGTACTCGATCATTTTATAACAAATAATAAGTAAATAATGTGATAATAAATAAAGTATATAAAAAGTAGTGTTGTATTACAAACCTCAATCCTTTTGGCATCTGTACGATCATCCCGTTTCTTTTTCTAAATCAGATAAGAAATAATACTATTAACGCACTATATTTAAATAAATATTTAATTGATGACATGATACTTTACCACACCCGGTGGCTTTCGACGACGCTTCTGCGGTATTTCATCAGCACCTACTCCATCATCAGCCTACCAATAAAATTTAAATCTTGTATAAAATAAAATAATGTAATATAAGGTAAATTTAAATAAAAAGACAAATGATTTACCTTCCGTTTACCAGGTTTGCTTGAACTAGATGCTTGAGGAGATGTACGACCTTTTCGTGGTGACACTTTACGTCGATATTCTCGGGTAGATTTTGGCTCTGAAATTTATTTCGACATAACATATTCGCATATTATTATTATTATTATTAAAGGAAGAAAAGATCCATCAAAAGATAAAAATTTTTTTTTCTTTTTTGGTATTTATCACAATTTAAATGTATATAATAAAGAAATGATAAATACCATATCGGCTCATTACTGTAATGCTAGCATCATCCTCATCAGAGGAAGCATCGGACAATATCATATCTTCAGATGATGAGCTACTGTTTGAAATAGAAAATTCACATCAAATGATGAAAGGTGAATGTTAATAATAAATTCTATCAATAAATAGACTAATAAAAGCGGGCGAAAAATAAATGAATATAATATATATATATATACTAACTTTGATGCGTCATCAACAAGACTAGGATTCATATCCATCATTAAGTCAAGTAAGTGACTAACAAACGTAGAACACGATTGAATTGTAGAGAATAAATATTAGTTACGTTTAACAAGTAAAGTAAGAGGAATGTTCTGAAATTAAAATAAAAAACGTGTTATTTATATGAAACTCACTTATTTTCCTCCTTTAACTTTCGTGCCTTATGCTTGGTTATCTCTAGACTATGTTTCAAGTCGTCTCTTTGCTATAGGTTATAGAGAATTAGTTACTGTTAGTCTCGAAAATAAAACACCAAACTGTTAAAACAATAAATTCAATAAAGCAAAAAAAAAAATAAATCGCGTTCTAGAATCGAAACTCTTAAACGAAAAGAATGTTAGAATACAAACACAAACAAAATTAATTTACCCACAAACCTTGTTTAATAATTCATACTTTTCTCTTAACCTATAATATTTTTCCTTGAACGATCGTGAATCGGCCATGAGTCCAGCCCTTTTCAAGTGGGTTACAAACTATAAAATGTGAGTGAAAATGCGAGAACTTGAACTTGTAAGAAAATGAGGGAAATCTCCAAAAACTATGAAAACCGTCAACAGTTTTTTATTGTGGTATAGGACACGGTTAAGCCTATAATTATAACTTAACTATGGCTTACTACAATATATTAAACTAATAATACTATAGTATTTTATAAGGTCACGCAACCACATACGTCACCTAACTGATAATACACAATAGTATACCTGATATGATGAGATTATTGTTTGAGTTGTCTGTTTCTTGTTAAAAGTGGTTGTTTAGAAAAAATCTGGCTTGTTGCCTGGTTGTAGGATAAAGCGTATTATGTAAGAGGAGGAAAAAAAAAAATTTGTTCGATTTCCCACCCGAAAATAAATGAGGAAAAAAAAAAAATCGGGGGAGGGTGATTTTTTTTTTTATTTGTGAAATTGTTTGTTTATTTGAAGAAGAAAAAGAAAAGAAAAGGGGAAGTAAGAAAGAGAGGAGATAGTTAAAAAGGGAAGATAAAAAATCTTTTTATGATAAATCGGAGTAATTACCAATTGTGGAGCGATAATAGAAATTAGGCGTAGAATTAGTGTATATATTTATTAATTCTTTTTTCGCTCTACTATGACAAATCGAAGGAAATTAACCGACAGACCAATACCACAAGACAAAAAGTTCATCTAAACTTAATAAAGCTGTTCTTTCCTTCGCCGAGGGAAAGTTTTATTATAATTTATATTAAGATCAGCAAGTCATCGTTTTCTTATCTATTAACATGTGAAACCAAAAAAACTGTCGCAAGGAAACCACGTTGACATTCCGCTCTTCCCAATATTCATATTTTGTGATACATTAATTTCTTCTTTATTGACATGTACGATAAAAAAACATCGCAGATTTAGTAAATAATGGATTTATTTTTCATCGGCTTTTCCCTCGACATTTTATCTCTCGCATTTATTAAAACTATTTAAGAAAGGAACCAATCAATAAATCTGATATATGC